GGCAAACTTTCCTACTCACTTGCTTCTCTTAAACTCTTCAGGTTTTTTTTTTTTTTTTTTTTTTTTGCTAGTACTTTTCTCTTCCACCAACACTAAATAACCATCAATCTCAGCTCCAATGATCTCAAAGTTTTATGAAGACAAAAATGATCCCTACTCAAAAACGGAGTCCCTTGCATGGCTATATGAAATTGGAGGAAGGAAGGAAGGAAGGAAGGAAATTACATTTGGTTATATTTGCAGACCTGACATTAGATGAGGCAAACAGGAATAAGGAGACAGGCATGATAGGGGTGATGCCTCTATGGCTACCCATCTGAATGATTTGTACTTGGTTTACCTAGAGTTCTGCTTCCATTTTAGTGTAGTATTAATGGGGAGAAGGATGTGTATTTAAGAGAGGTATCAATTCTCTCTCTGCTCAGAAGATTCAGAGGTTGAGTCACTATCAGAACTTCAAAGAATGCTGACAATAAGACTTTGTGCAGTGTAAAACTTTGCTGAGATCAGTTTTTAAAAATAAGCCTCCTTTTATTTAACATTCACACTCATGAATAATGGATATAAAAGAGAAATAATCACTCATTTTCACAACAAGAATGGCAAGTATATATAGGGTTTGGATTTTATTCTTACATCATATCACACCCGGCCTCTAGGTCTCTCTGAACCTTTACACTGCTTCTCCTGGTTTTGAATGACTATTGACACCATTGATTTGGTGTTCAAAGGTGAAGGGCACAAAAATGACCAGAAAACCACTGAGAGGCTGGTGGGATTATAACACCCTCCTCCACTGACGTGGGAAGTAGAAGGTACAAAGCAGCATTAGTTTATGCTGCATCTCAGTACACTGTGCAGCCCTTTTTTGTGATAAAGAGTTTGATTGATTACCCACTCAAATAGAGTCCTCTATACATTCCTATCTAGTAGAACTATGTTTGAAAAATGTAAAATACAGCAAAAATTGGGCAGACAAAACCCAACCTAAGGTTTACTCCAGCCAGGGAATTTTGTTTTTAAGAAACAATACACAAGAAGGGAGGGTATAGCTCAAGTGGCAGAGCCCATGGTTAGCATGCATGAGGTTCTAAGTTCCATCTCCAGTACTTCCTCTAAAAAAAAAAAAAATAAATAAATACACAAACAAACCTAATTCCGCCCCCCCCAAATAATATCAATAAATAAAAATTAAAAAAATAAGACAACTTAATGACTGTTCAGTTCTTTCCTACTTTTTTTCCTCCCAGACTTGACTAAAAACTTCTGAATTTTCTTTTTTCTCTCTTCCTCCCTTCCTTCTTCTTTCTTCCTTCCTTTTCTTTCTCCCTTCCTCTTTCTTTCTTTCTTTCTTTCTTTCTTTCTTTCTTCCTTTCTTTCTTCCTTTCTTTCTTTCTTTCTTTCTTTCTTTCTTTCTTTCTTTCTTTCTTTCTTTTCTTCCTTCCTTCCTTCCTTCCTTCCTTCTTTCCTTCCTTCCTTTCTTTTCTTCCTTCCTTTCTTTTTCTTTCTAAAATCTTACCATGGTAACTTGTAGAAGCATGGTCAACTAAAAGTTTGATGACTTGTGCTCTTATTCTGGTTTTACCATAAACTTTTGGGCAAGATATGTAATTTTGTTGTTCTGTACAATTAGAACAGCTACCCAGCCATGGTGCTGAGTTGTTAGGATGATCTAGTGAGATGTCAAATTGCTTTGGGAACCAGAGTTTATGAGTATCAGGCATTGTTATTATTTAAAAGTAAAAGCCCAATCAGTATCTTTTTACAAGCTTCCTAGGGAAACCTTGTCCATTTTTATGACTTTAATAACTTATATTTGAGTTATTAACTATATTTGTCCTTAACTTACTCCCAATTTTCTAGATATCTCCATTTATCCAATATCCTTTCACTTCAGATGAACAGGAATTCTAGGAATTAAAACTTTTCTTCCCTAGGTTATATTACAAAGGTGATAAGACTGTTTCTAACACAAACGTCTTTTATGATTATCATTCTGGAAGGCCAAAAGCCTGATGCTGAGTGTATGAGATATAGAAGAGAAGCTTCAACGGATGAGGAAGCAAACCAGGAAAGCAAGGCAATAATAAACTACGCTCAGTATTGTGGTGCTGAAGGAAAAGACAGCACAGGACATAGAATGGAACAGCCGGGCCAAGATGAAGCGGCCCCTGAAAGCTCTGGGCTGTCCTGGGCTTGAATGCGCGCTGGAATGGAATTCAGGAAAGAGGCGACAGGAAGGTGATTCACTCGCAAAGGCAAATTTGTTTACTTGACAATTTTCCCTTTCCAGGTGAGAGTGTCTGGTAAAACTCACCTAGGTCTAGGATTCATGGAGTTTTGGAAAAATAATATATTTGTATGGGCTTAATTTAACAGGCTTACACCATATCACTTCACATGCTTTATGTAACAAGGCAGGACAAGAATTACGATCACTTTACAGATCAGTTGATTTAATCATAGAGAAGTTAAATGATACAGTTCAATTACATTTCAGATATGAATAGGATCTTAGAGATTTAAGTCTAATGTTCATTAAAAAAAAAGAGAGAGAGAACAAGGTTAGGTAAAGTGAGTTGTCTAGGATCACACAGCCAATATGTGGCAGATGTCAAAGTATAAACAATGTTCTATGTTGTTTCAATTTAGAAATTCTCATAGATATATAACAAGTTCATACCTTATAGCACAGAGAACTACATTCAATATCTTATAGTAACTTGTGGTGAAAAAGAATATGAAAATGAATAGACGTATGTTCATGTATGACTGAAGCATTATGCTATACACCAGAAATTGACACATTGTAAACGACTACACTGCAATAAATATGTATATATAGAAATTCTCAGACTGACTCATAATTGATTCAAACTTGTTAAAATCTTCCGCAGAAGAGAGGAAGCAAACTGTGACTGCTTTCACAAAATTAAAAGATGCTCTTTTAAAAATACTCCTTTTGAAAAAAAATTCCTTTTGAAGAAAATATCAGAGAGGCAGAAAAAAATTTTACAAAATCAGAAATGTAATTTTGAGTTTGCATACATTTGAAGTGATTAACACTAAGTGCAGCTTATGAACTACCATTAGGCTGTACTCTAGCCACATTTTATGGCTTGTCACTATTAACTAAACATCTTTTACAAGTATGAAGTTTGTATTTCAGATGGGTAAGCACAGGTCTTATATTTAAAATCATTTGGTAAGAGGTTTTTTTCTCTTAATAGCAGTTAGAAGAAACATGTAACAGGAAATCTATAGTGTATTACTTGGAAGAATAGCCTCAGTCTAATTAACAGATTGTCTAAAACTCTATTTAGCATAAAGATGTATCAATTTGGTTTTCTTATTGGATTTAAATACAGTACCTGCACAAAGGAAATACTTTTATGTCCAAGGACGTGGTTTCATAGTTTTCCTTTCATTAAAGCCAACTTCCTACTTAAAAGGAGATTCACATTTCCAGTGCACTTCACAACATATCAGAGATTTTTGCTCTTTCATTCAACAAAATGTACTGATCACATATTGTTTGCAAGCTGCTGGGCTACAGAACATGAGGAAAATCAAGAGGTTTAAATACAATCTTCTCCTTAGGCAAATGAGGGAAACTGACACCCAAGTTTATTGATCATCTACCATGCACCAATTATGATGACAATGCTTTATATCTCTTACCTTGTAAGAACCTTAAACTTCATTATTATTTTTTTAAATAATAGAAATTTATTTTTCACAGTTCTGGATGTTGGAAAGTCCAAGATCATGGTGCTGTCTTATCTGGTGTCTGGTCATGAATCTTAAACTTTTCCAGGGGAGATAAGATATACACAGAAATATACACTTGACATAAAGCGTCCCCAGAAAATATCTGTTGAATAAATGAATGTAAGGAATCTCAAAATAACTGCCCTTGTTGCAAAGTCCCAGAGAGATTCAGAGGCTCCCTTAGGTGGTGGCTTTCGATACTGAAGGCCTCATTTCATGTTAGGTTGACCATTTCGGAGCTGTGTAATTAAAGATCCTGGGCAGGTTAGGTAATCTGAATTTTGACTTCCTGATCTGCAAAGTGGGGAAAATGCTTTCCATCTCATAGTGTTGTTATGGGGAGTTGGCGATAAGTTAAGTTCCCCATATAGAAGGCGCTCAAAAAATGGTAGCAACCATTACTGTTAAGTTTTATTATTATGCTGATACACACTAGCCATTGATTTAGTGTTCTTTCTACATTTGGCTCCAGTTATGTAAACGCACTTCCTGCAAAAGCATTTAAGGAACCCTAAAGACTCAGAGATCAGCGCTTTTATCTGCTCGGGAGACACTGTCAATCTTCACTAGGAACAAAGTGACAAAGCAGGCAGAGCGTGGCGAGGCGGTCCAAGGTTCATAAACAACGGACCCAAAGGCTTTGTCTCCAATGTTCTTTCACGCCCCTTTATTAACTGCAAAAAGCCTCTCACCGAGCCTTCAACTGGCTTCTCTATGGCAAATCACGTTCACTAAGCTACTGCGTGCAGCGCACGGTGCCAGTTGGCGAAGCGGGCTAGATACAGACTCTGTTTCTGCTTTTACGTCAAGGCTTGAGAGAACTAAGCCCTCTTCCCTGACGCACTGCTGAACTGGTTCGCACGCAATCACCTACCTCCCAAGACTAAAAAGGTGTCCCCAAATCTCTACCCAGGCGCAGATGCCACATAATCGACGCCACTCCCCAGGGACGAAGAGCAAGGCCTCCTGGGAAACTGACCTTTCACCTCCCCTCTTGCCTTACCTCAACTCACCAATTTTGACGCTAGCGAATGAAGTGACCAGGAGACCTGGAAGGCGGGACTTAGTGGTTCCCCATCCACACTGATTGGACTGCGACGGCGCGAAGGGACCGCGTGAGCGGGCTAGCGCCCCTCCCTCGGTGGGCGGGGAGAAGTGGGGGCTGCGCTTGCGCACTGGGAGGCGGCGGAAGTGGCCCTGGCGGCTACGCGTGCGCGGTGGGCGGAGCCCGGCTCCTCCAGCTCCCTTGCCAGCCCAGGTCCGCCCAGCTTTACCCAGCCGGTGTGGAGCTCGTGTTTCCCCACCTCGTCGCGGAGAGTCGCTGCCGAGTGGGCGCTCGGTGTCCGGGTCGTCATGGCTGGTTACGAATACGTGAGCCCGGAGCAGCTGGCTGGCTTTGATAAGTACAAGGTAGTGCGGGTCCCGCGGACTCCCCTCTCCTTGCTGGTTCTCGGCCTCTCCTAGGCGCCTAAGGGGCCGGCGCCGTCTGTGTCACCTTGTGCCGCATGGCTCCGGCGGGCTGGCGGCAGTTTCTCTGGAGGTCCTGCCGAGTGCTGGGGCTTTGGGGTCGGGGTGCGTGCGAGCACCCTAGGCCCGCCGCTCCGACTCGGCACCCTCCCGGGGAATTGCCTTTTCCTTGGGAGACTCCTCCACTAGAGGAGTCTTCGCTTCTTTAACTTCGTTATTATTAATATTTTTAACCCCCTGAAAGGTGATGCAGTTCCGTTCAGTAGTGTCTTAATTGTCTTCATTTTAATGAAGTTGCCGTCCGGCTCTCTTGCACGCAACTTCAGAGATAGAGAGGCTCATTTGGCAGATGAGGCCCGGGGAGCGGGGAGTGACTACTGGGGCCATACTGCTGATGCGCTCGCTTCCACTCCCAGTGAAGAGGCGCCTGGGCGGCCGGAGAAGTAAATGTGCACAGGCAGGAACTGGAGCTGTGTAGTGGAAAGAGCGCGGGCTTTGGAAAGCATGTAAACTTGATACCAAACCTGATACTAAAATCAAATTTCTTTATTTGGCTTTGGGCCAAATTATAGTCTACACCGTGCCAAAGGACTGTGAGAATTGGAGAAGCGCCTAGTAGGTAGTGGGCCTTCAGTAAATGCTGGTTGTTAACTTCCCATCAAGTACTGTTCTCCACTGCTCCCTCCTCAGTGAATGAATGACTCCACTGTCCATCCAGTCAGTTGTCCAAGCCTGAAATCCGGGCAGTAACCTTTCCGCCTTTGTTACTAGTGTTACTTTCACTACTGATTCCTCTACCGCACCCACCAGCCAGTGAATCACCAGGTCCTGTGTGTCCTGTCATTTTTAGCCTGAACTAGAAAGGTACTTCCGTTACCGCTCTCCCCACATATAATTTATTCTTTTAATTTTAGAATAGTTCTGGAATATTTTGGAATAGATTTACAGGAAATTATAAAGGTGCAGTCAGAGTTCCCATATACTCCACACCTAGTTTCCCTGTTATTGACATCTTACATTTGTATGGTATGTTTGTCACAATTAATGAAGCAACATTTACACATTATTATTAACTGAAGTCCATACTTTATTCAGATTTCCTTAGTTTTCACCTGATGTTCTTCTTCTATTCTAGGCTCTTGTCCGGGATACCACATCACATTTAGTTGTCATGTCTCCATAGGCTCCTATTGGCTATGACCACTTCTCAGACTTTTCTTGTTTTTGATAACCTTGATAATTTTGAGTTCCAGTCAGATATTTTGTGGAATGTTCATCAGTTGGATTTGTATGATGTTCTTCTTATGGTTAGACAAGATTATGGGTTTTGGGGAGGAAGACCACAGAGAAGTGTCCCTCTCATTGCATCATATGAAGAATACATTCTGTCAGCAGACTTACTACTGTTAATATTGACTTTGATCACCTCCCTATGTTTGTCAGGATAGTTACTCTCTGGAAGAAAGTCACTATGCACAGCCCTCACTTAAGGAGTGGAGAGTTATGCTTCACCTTCTTGAGGGCAGAGTAGCGACATAATTTATTGGGACTTCTGCCTGGAGGATTTGTCTTTTCTTCCCCATGTATATTAATTCAGTCATTTATCTATATCAGTATGGCTTCATGGACACTTACTTTACACTTTGGGTTATAATCCAATACTACTTTATTTGGTTGCTCACCCACATCCACTTTTGCCCTTCTGTCCTTTCTCTATGCTTCATAGTGATCTTTTTTTAAAAATGTGCATCTGGTCATGTCACTCGTTTGCTTAAAATTTTCCATTGTCTTCCCACTGCTCTTGGAATCAAGTCCAAAAATCCACAGCATGATTAGCATGGCTCTGAATGATCTGCCCTCGTCTGTGTCCTCAGCTTCATATCTTGCTACTCACTGTCTACCCCTCCCAGCATTAAGAGTCATCTTCCCCATCTACTTTTTTTCGATCCTTTAGATCTTGCTCCAGGGAGGAAGTGTTTAAATAGTATTGTTACATCTGCCAGGAATGTAGCTCCTCTCATTTATGTTCATCTTCACATCTTAAATGTTACTTTCTCAGAGAAGCATTCCCTAAGTACACCTTTCCCCTTAAGTGTGCTCTCATAGCACCTCTGCTTCTTCATGGAATTAGTTCTTTAGGTGTCTCCCCATGAGAATGTAATCCTCAAGTGGTTAGACTTGTCTTACAGACCACCATGGCCTGAGCACAGGGCTGTTGTGATTAGGCTTCCAGCAAACATTTGTGGAACGAATGAATAACTGAGAAACATCATAACTAATCTTGTCAAACTGGAATTGGGATAACCGTAAGGAACCTTAGAAGGTCATATAGTATATTCCTCTGCTTTCAAGCAATATTGTGCCGTACCATTGCGAACTGAGGTGCTGACTGGTCTTAAAATTTTAAGTGGGAATTTAACCCAGTCCAGGGCTATTCAGCTTTCACTAATGAAGTTTATTAACCCAGATACCTCTTGTTTTCCCTTAAGCTCTACCCTCTTTCTGTTGTCTCTTCTGCACTGTAAATATTGACGTACAAAACTTTTTCCTTACTAGGCTGTGGCTTTTTGGTGAGTGCCGGGAGAATAGCTGTTTAATTGGTGGCAGAGTCTGTAATACAGAATCTACTTTTTAAAAAAATAAGCAGTCTTCCCTCGATTTAAATTTCCAACTAGATGGATATCCTAAATTACGGGAAATCAACAGTGTGATTTTTCCGTTCCTATCTTTTTCCCTTTTCCGTTGTCTGACTCACTTCCTGAATCTGACAGCAGATTTCCTATCATTCTGGAAAACAAAGGTCAATTTAGCAAGCGTCCAGTGTTCACTAAAATATAGTTTGTTGATGTTATTTTAGTTATAATGAGGCTTCTTTTAAACAAGTGGTGGAGGCGGGGCACAGGTTTTTATAACCTAAACTTCTTCCAGTAGAAGGTTCTTTACTCAGTACTGTGTTCGTATTAGAAAATATGAATCCAGAGGTGCCCAAAGGAAAAATCTGTGTGGTCAGTATTACTGGAATGTGAATTGTACCAAGAAACCTTTTCTTCCTGAAGATCATACATTCCCATTGCGTGGACTTTGACGGGGAGTGCTTTATAAATGCTGATTGAATTAAAACAGTGTCTGAGGAAGATGATTCCATAAATAAAGACCCAAAGCACTTGAAAGAGATTTTTATTCTCTGATGTGACCCTATATACTACAGCAAAGAGATACAGAGAAAAGATTGTACTAAAAAAGTAGCTGGTGGAAAAATTACTTTTGAGCCAGTTCAATTTCTTCATCTTCCCTAGAGGTAAATCTGAGAGCTACAGTTGGAAACCTGGCAGTTATTCAGAGTAACTCCTGAAAGGGGTGTACACGCAGAGTAGTAATTAGGTTTCTGTAGTAAGAAACTGAAAGACAGTTGACTTTCAGTGCAGAAGAAAGCATGGGGTGCATTCTGTGTTATATGCTCTCTTAACGCTTGGGTTCTTCGTTGCCTTACCCCAGTCTTTTTAAAGAGCTGAGTGATTAGTTGTGTCTGCCTTCTCTGTTAGGATATGAGCTCTGGGAGAGAAGCAAAGCCTGTAGCTCTCTTATTCAATGTGACCAAGGTCTAGCACATGAACAGAGTAGGCATTTGACAAACATTTATTGAAGGAATGAAAGTTTAAAGAATATAAACCATTTTGGAACTGTGGTAAAACGGAGCTGTGCATCTCCTGGACGCTTTTTGTATTTTGAATGTGAAGATGTCAGGGGTTTAGCCGCCATTGTTCTCTGTTGCTTTTTAATGTACCTTCAGACAATTATGTTGAGGAATTTCACTCTCTTGAGCCTCATCATTCCTTCTCTCTTCCTATCCTGCCTTTTGATTTTAGAGGAGGTTCTGGAGATTGAACCAGGACCTTGTGCATGCTAAGCATGTGCTCTAGCCCTTTGAGTTATACCCTCCCCTTATCCTTCAGGCTATCCCTACCCACCATTAGGTATTGTGGTTATCTAATCTGACTTAAGGAAGGCTTAGTTTTAACTGATAGTGTAGCAGCTAGTTTCAAATTGTAACATTTCGCTTAAGAGAGGAGGTGTTCTGTGAAATATCTTTTTGGTTTCAAGAATACAATTTTATGATAAGTTGGTTTCTGCTATTATGGTAGTTAAGTAACTTGGCTGTTGACAATAGCCAATTGATTACAGGAATTGTGACAATTGTGACTTCGGGTAAGAAAGAGAGGCTGTGTACATCTTGATGGTAATGCTGACTGGTTAACACCCTTGATTTTGTTTATTCAGTCAGCCTTTATTGAGGGCCCACTCTGCGTCAGTCATGGCATTGGGGCTGCAAAATTAAGCTAGGCTAGAATTCCTGCCTTCAAGGAACTCAGTTCGGTGGTATATGGACAAGGAAATAAACAGATATGAATAATTAATAAATGCAGTTAGGTAAGTGCTGGGTGCTGTGGGAGAGGGAATCAACTCCAGGGAGTGAGGATACAGCTGAGAAAGACTTCAGAGAGAGGATGGAGGGGAAGGGGGAGCTCAGTCTAGAGGAGGAAGCTGAGTAGGCCCCTGTTCTTAACCAGGTGATGAGGGGAGTAAAAGCATCCCTGAATAAGAGAGCAGTAGGGTGAGTGCAGAGGGGTGGAGGCCAGAGAGTACTTTCTGGGACCCATGAGATTTAGATGTTTGGGCTTAGTGGTGGAGTGTCAAGAGGTGAGACTGGAGAGGGAGTTGGGGCCCTGTCAGAAGGGGATGATTGATGTAAAGGAATTTAGGATTTTACTCTGTAGATCATTGTTTCTGTGGCCCAGGGACCATCGGCATTAGAATCACTGGACAGTGTTTAGCCTACTTCTAGATACACTTTAGGGGGTTCAGATTGGATAAATTGCTGTTATCTTCATGTTAAACAAATACTTTAGGTGCTTCTTGGGTACCTTGTAAGGCTATTGGTTTTG